GTGTATGTGTGTGTATATATACATATATATTTGCAGTGGTTACCATTATTTTTCTTCCTTTGAACTCCAGAATAATACATGATCTTCCTACTTCTTGTCCAGCCCCACTGTAAAAAATAACAACAAAAGAAATGAACATTAATATCTGTGCAAATGTATAAGGCAAAACTTTAATAACAGCACAAAGCTAGGCTAATAAATCAATCTATGCTTTCCCCTCTTTTAAAAACAAAACATATTCTGAGGAGTTCTTAGTGAGAACTCCTCCTTAGGAATCCTTAAGGGGAAAAAAAAATTATAAAATTATCAGAAAAGGGAACAATCTAGGTTCAGGAAGTGAATGTGTATGAGTTCAAATGCATGCGTTTAAATTTCTGAAGAGCTTATGTTATAGAGCTAGAGATCAAAAGTTAAATTTAAGTTTCTGAATGAAAATCTTGACAAAGTAATTTTAAAGTGTCCAAGTTACAGTGATCGTTTTTTTTTTTTTTTTTTTTCAGTTAAATAGATTGTGATATGTATAGATCCAGGAATATTTCAGCATTTTACAAAGAAATAAAATTTATCAACTAATACAAAACAGCAACTGGAATTTACCAAATAAGCTGAAATTAAAATATGACTGGAATGTCTCTTTTTTTCCTCTGAAGTATTCAAATTTCTCCTCTTTGCTAGTATCTTTCTCAAAAATTATCTTGTTAAATTTATTATAAGTCATACTTTTAAACTCTTCTAAGTTGCTTCTGTGTGTGGCTACATTTGACTCATCCTTCAAAGTCCAGCTCAAGTCCCACTGCCCCCATTACGACTTACTTCTCCAAACTTTGTAGTTGATGTTGATCTCTCCCTTCTCTGAACTTCTACAGCATTTAATTGTCTGTACCACTTATTTTTACATTAGCTCTCATGAAGGCAAAAATTATGTCATTATTTTCTTTGTCACATGTTGCATAGCAGGGAGCACTTAATATCCTGGTTACATTTCCCTAATAATTAGTTTACTTTGAAGTGCTTTGATTAAAGAATACTGTTATTCTTTTCTACTAATACTTAAATATATTCCACAATCAGAGAGGCACAGTGGCATGATGGGAAAAAAAACTCCAACACAGTGGACTAGGAATCAAGAGATATTATTCTAGCCTTTGTTGTCACCTCTCACCACATGAGACCACTGACAAATTACTTCCATGTCTGTAAAATGAGTAGGTTGAACTAATTATCTCTGAGATATCTTGCAGTTCTAAAATACTATGATATGAAAGTGTGATTATTATAATTTACATAAGGAACACTAACCCAGTTACTTATTTACTAAACTATTTCCTCTATGCTTCAGCCAAATTGGACAAATCAGTTAAGCGCTGGGGCCTTGGTTTCCTCATCTGCAAAATGAGGGGGTTCGACTAGATGGCCTTTAAAGTTCCTTCCAGCTTTAAATCTATAATTCAATGATCCTGTAAATACTGTCTTATAAATGTGCTGCTTATCATAATCATACGACTCAGATCATTTCTTATTCCTGGAATATTCTCCCCACTTCATCTCTGGTTGAATTTCTAGACATATTTCAAAATCCAACTCAAATGCTATATACCTTGTGAAGCTGATCCTAATCCCCTCACTGGCTAATTAACAGAGACCTCAAATAGCCTTTGTGCTATGTCATACTGTTTTTTCTATATGGTATTATACATTAGTGTTACCTACGTTGGTGTCTCCTGCCCTTACTAGACTTGTAAGTTCTGTGAAGGTGAGGGCTCCCTCACTAAATTCTGAATCTCCTAACCCAGGAGAGCTATGTATGTGTGCCCTGGGCACTTTAGTCCTCTGAATATGAGAGCAGTTATTGTTTGTAATGACCCTTTTGTTAATCAGTTTCATGGGTATGTTTGTAGTATACCTTGGCATAATCAAAAACACTAGTCAGAGTTCAATTTTGGGCTTATTCACTGTGTGCAAATAAAAACTTTCTTAAGTTTCAGTTATTTCCTCTGAAACCAGAGAATAATAACATTTACTTGTCCCACAGTGATGTTGCTAGGAAGGAGCTCAATATAAACATGAGCCATTAGAATCACTGGGTCTCCCTAGGCTTCAGTCTCCTAGGGTTCTATATGTTCTATAGTCTATCCAGCTCTGGAACTCCCACTGTGCAACTCATTGGTTGAGTGCAAACTTACATGGTTCACTCTATCTAGCTAGTCCCAGACTTACTTTATATTCTACCCTGGCCATATTCTTGACAACTATGGGTGTCAATCAACAACATTCCTCTCATCAACTCAATGAATTCTCAATCCAAAAGACATCTTCCTGGCCACCAAAGCCACTCCCCTATATGGTGTTATTTGCCCCTATTAGAACATAAGCTCTTTGAGGTCAGGAACTGTCTCTGGCCCCAACTCCTTTTTTTAAAAATCCCCAGCACTTAGTACAGTGCTTGGCATACAGTAAGCATGTAATAAATGTTTTTTCATTCATTCTTCTGTATTTCACTTGGCTAGCTAAGCCCACAGTAAATAACTGACAAATAAATTTATACAAGGTATGTATGTATGCCCTGGGCACGTTAGTTATAAAGTTAATCTACTTAGAAGATTTCCAAATTTCCATCTCCACTACTAAGCTACTTCTCCAATCCATAATTTCTAGGGTCATCTGATATCCTTTTATTGCAATATGGCACAGTGAAAAAAGACCACCCAGGACTTGGAATCAACAGTGCTGGACTTGAATTCCTGTTGGGTGACTTATGTGTGGGACTTTGATCACGTCCCTTAATCTCTTTGGGTTTCAATTTCCTCATCTGAGAAAAAAAAAAAAAGACAAAAAAAATGAGGGGGCAGTATTAGGTGACTTCTTTGGTCATTTTCCAATTCCAGATCTGTGATCCTATGCATGTGACTTCTCCACTTCTTTAAACTTCAACTCCTTCCCTCCAGTCTCAAAATGTAATGAAGAAGCCTTTCTTTATTCCAAGACTAATCCCTCCACTTATGCTCTTCAGCTCATTCATTCCAGCCTTCTTACACCTAACAATTCCCCCCTCCCCTATACTCTTTGATCCAGTGACACTGGACTATTTTCTGTTCCTTGAACAAAACACATTATCTCCAGACTTGGAATTTTCACTGGCTATCCTTCATGCATGGAAATACTCTCCCTCTTTATCTCTCTTCCTTCAAGAACCAGCTAAACTCTCACCTTCTACAGGAAGCCTTTTCATCCTACCTTTTCCCTTCTTTATATTTTCCCTCCACATTTGAAATTGACTGCCATCAAAAATTGCCTGCTGAAATCTGTCCCTTTCGTCAAGGCCAAGTTTGGGCGTCACCAACCTATAATGATATCTGGCATTTATATAGGCCTATAGGGTTTGCAAAGCATTTTACAAATATCATCTCTTCTTATTCTCATAACACTGCGAGGTAGATGGTGCTATTACGATTCACATTTTAGAGATCAGGAAACTGAGGCAGAAAGAAGTTAACTGAAATGCCCAGGGTCATACAACTATTACCTGGGTGATGCTATATTTTAACTCAGGTCTTCCTGACTCTAGCTCTATCCTTGCCTTACTTTCCTCCTTCCAACTGGGTGGGATCTCACCCTCCTTCAATTTCTTCTGGTACTCTGTCTGGATATTTCCTTCCCACATACCATATTTTACGTAGCATTAGAGTTATGCATAGATACGCTTTATCTCTCCAAATTACACTGCAATTTCCCTATGGGCAGAGACAAAGTCTAGCACTATGGCTCACAAATAACAGACAACAAATAATTTCCTTCTGTTTACTTGTCTCTGTTCAAGTTACGGCCTCCCAACATAATGTAAGGTACTCCTCAATGCCTAGCAGAAACAATAAATTTTAGTTAGATGATAACTGCTTGCATGTTTACAAAAGTTCTTTCCATATAAATTTTTTCTCTGGATTCTCAAAAAGAAAAAGTCCCAATCCCAAAAACTAACGTTTTGAGATAGGTAAGGTTAGAATATGTCGACTTTACATAGAAGGAAAGCGGGACAGCCAGGTCGTGTAGTGGATAGAGTACTGGCCCTGGAGTCAGCAGTACCTAAATTCAAATACGGTCTTAGACACATAACACTCACTAGCTGTGTTACTCTGGGCAAGTCACTTAACCCCAATTGCCTCACTTAAAAAAAAACACAACACAACCATCAACTACATAGAAGGAAACTAAATTTCAGCAAACTTGGAGTTGCGAGGGGAAGAGGGTCGTTGGCTAACATTTCTTTTACTCGCTAGTTCATTCACTGAACAAACACATATTAAACGTCTCCTGTCTACAGCAAAGACAAGGTTAGGCAAGTCCTCCGAGAATTTTGCCTAGTAAGGGGACAGAGATCCCAACGAAGATGACAATAATACACAGTGATCTTGGGGCACCAAAGCGATGCAAAACTCGCGTGTCAAGTGAAGTTTGAGGGGAAAGGTCATATTCCTGAAGAAAGTGGCTTCTGAGCCAGATTTTGAGAAAGTGGTAGAGAGCAACAGGTGAATGGCGGAGGGGCGGTATTTAAAGCAAGCAGACAACAGCCTGAGCCCACAGACGCGGGTAGAACGAGGCCGGGTGGTCTCGCAGCCAGTGTGGGGGAGGCCGCCCCTCACGAGTCCCCGCGGCCTTCCCCGCGGCCTCGCCACCCGGGCTCGGCTGCGCGCAGTTTCTCCCTCCCCGGGCTCCTTACAGCGGTCGGATCAGTAGCTGGTCGCTCTCCTCGGCAGGAATCGCCGACATCTCTGGGGTCAGGGGAAGGGAAGAGGAAAGAGGGGATCCGACGAGCCACCACTACCCCCGCAAAGCAGCGAGAGAGGAGAGAAGCCCCTCAGCCCTCCTCTCAGAGCATTACGATCACCACTTCCGGCGTCTCTGAGGCGCTCGAGACCTTACTTCCGGTACGGGTCTGACCCAGGAGGTTTCGCGGCTTCCTTTCGAGCCCGGGAGCGCGGGGCGGGGCCAGCAGAGGCGTTCTGCGCCTGCGGGGTGGAAATGGTGACGGAATCCGGGCGGTGAGGTGAGAGGAAGGAAGGAAAAGGAAGGAAAAAAAAATGTGGAGTAGGAGTGGCCGCCTCCGGCTTCTCTGGTGTTGAAAGCAGTTTCTGTCGGGAACCTCCACTTTTCCCGGTGGCAGTGAGGTGAGGACCCTCTCCCCATTCCTTCCCGTTCCGCTTTTCTTCTCTGTTTCTCTGTTCGCCGCTTAGCGCGAGCCTTCGGTTTCCCGCGCCCAGCCCCGCAGCCACGTGCCAGCCTCCGTAGGGTTGGAGTCGTGACTCGGCGGCTTGTGTCAGGGTGGGGGGAGGGAAGTAGGCCTCCGGTTGCCATAGCGACCAGGGGCAAAGTTGGGGAGTGATGGAGGGGTGAGGAGAGTGGGGGCGTATGAGAATGGGTACCGCCCTTTTCTGTGAATCAGGGCGGTGGCCGCCTGATATAGAGCTGAGAGCGCCCTGAGAGCCAGCCAGCCAGCCTAATCCTCTTATTTTTACAGATAAGGAAACTGAGGTTTGGGGGAGAAAGCCGCCTCTCCCTGTGTAAGTAGCCAAGCTGGGATCGGAACCTAGGACCCGCGTGTCTTCCCCAATCCCCAGCGCATCCTCTGCTGGGGGAGTGAGGCAGGGTGTAGGGAGGCACTGTCCCGGGTGAGGAGGGGGTACCCGAGGGGAAGCGTCTGTACGCTGCATGAGAATAGGGGGCAAGGGTAGTAAAACATCGAGGAGACTCATTTTTAAGGTCTTATCTGGGATGTGAGGGTCAGCATTTAACAGTCGGTTTGTGGGGGAGGGGTTGTGGAACAGTGTGCATTACACATTCTGGTCTTCACAGTTGGGGCACCTGCACCGAGAACTTCATTTCACTCTCCTCCTCAGCCTGCGTGGACCAAGTGTGGCAGCCAGCAATCCTTCACAATCACTAATCCACCCCACCTTTTCCCACCCTCACTCCCCTGCCACCAGCTCATGGACGTAATGCTGAGCAAGAGAGGAGATATGAAGGCTCATTCACATCTACCTTAAAGACATCTCCTTCCCCGTTGGATTATATTTCTTTTCTAAATCCTATGTGTTGAAAGGTACCTTGGTATTGTCTAACAGAGACAGTTATTTCTATGCTGATTGTTGCTGTAAGTTGCTCTTCACTTGGTACTTGTGCTCTTCCTTTGGAATGAAGGCTCATTCCTATGGCTGGAAGGCAAACAAGCCTGAAGAGGAGAGGATTCTGGGAAGATGGTAGAATAAGGCAGGAAATTACCTGAGTCTCTTAAATTCCCCTACAATTTAAAATAAGGCCTCAAAGTGAACTTTGAGAGACAGAAATAATTAAAAGTTGAGATAAAGCAGTTGTCCACCTAAGACAACTTGGGAGGACATTAGGAGAGACCTTACCTCTGGAATATTGGTCTGGCCTGATTGAAGTGCCTTGGAATCAACAAACCACAACCCCCGAGGTCAGTCCTGTCCAGCAGGAGCTTCCTCTTAAGGAACTTTTGCCCTGTGGAAGACTATGTGGGGTGAGGGAGTTGGCCAACTTATTGGGGAAGATTGCTGACTCTGAACTAAGAGCTCTGATGCACTGACCAGGCAAAGTCCTGTACTATGGCAGTGAGCTAGAAGTGAGGGCAGTAGGAGAGTGGCCAGGACCCAGCTGGTTGCTGGCACCCATCAGAGAGTGGTGTCCCTGATTTTGGTTCCAGGGCAGAATGGTGTGTGGAAGTGGTGTGTGGTCATAGGGAAGATCTGGGTTCAAACTCAGAAGATAGTTAAGTTAAAACAGCTACTTCTGCTTCAGAGAAAAATGTAAAATGGTCACATGCCCAAAAAGAGTTCTTGGAAGAGCTTAGGAGGACTTTAAAAATCAAATAACAGAGGTTTAGGAATAATTAGGAAAAAAAATAAGAGTAATACAAGAAATTTTTGAGAAGTCAACCAATTGGAAAAAGAGAGCCAAAAATTTAAGGAAGAAATGGATGAGGGGAATCTAATGACATTATAAGGCAGCAAGAAATAATAAAACAGAATCAAAAGGATGAAAAAAAAATAGAGAATGTGAAACATCACATTAGAAAAACAACTGACCTGGAGAACACGTTGAGGAGAGTTGATATAAGAATTGTTGGATTACCTGAAAGTTAGGATTAAAAAAAAAAGAGTCTATACAATATACGTCAAGAAATTAGAGGATAAAATGGAAATGGAAAAAAATCTATCATCACCTGAAAGAGAGCCCAAGATGAAAACTCACAGAACATTATAGCTCAGTTTAGAAACGCCCAGGTCAAGGTGAAAATACTACAAGCAACTCGGAAAAACAATTTAAATACTGTGGAGCTACAGTTAGGATACATGAGATTTAGCAGCTTTTATGTAAAAAGACCAAAGGATATGGAACATTATATTCCAAAAAACAAAGGAGCTGGTCTTGCAACCAAGAATAACTTACCCAGCAAAGCTGAGTATAATCCTACATAGGAAAAAAAAAATGATATTTAATGAATTAAAGGACTTTCACATATTTGTGAGAAAAAGACTAGAACTGAATGGAAAATTTGACCTGTAAGAATCAGGTGAAACATAAAAAGGTGAACATTAGAGACCAATTATAAGGGACTTAATAAGGGCAAACTGTTTCTCTGTAACTTTTAAGATAGTTTGAAAGTCTTGATAGGTTGAAACTCTTTGAAAGAGTTGAGTATGATGAGATCATTAATAGGATCTTACTGAACCAGTCCCTAACCTGGGAGTGAGTAAACTGAAGGCCTGGGACAAAGTGCCAATAATCAAGTTGCAGTTTAATTAGTTTCGTTATGAGGAACAGATTGATAAATCTGGAATTCTGATCAGAATCCCACCTGGCTATAGTGAAGGCAGAGATTATATACATAAATCACAAGTAGAAAGAGGGGGGAGGTGAATTACAAACAATGATTTCCCAGGGCCTGAGTGGTTTCCCGACAATACAGGTGTTCTAAGCTCCTGTGGGAACAATGTTGGTCACGTCCTTGAGGGGCATTACTTGGTAGGTCATAGGACCGGAGTTTTGTGATAGGAACAAGTTCTACAATCTTTGATTCACTTCACTTAAGGTACCCAGGCACAAGAATGCAGGGATTGTGAGAATATTCTCAAGAGTTTGATAATTTCAAGCCGCATTGTAAGTTTCTGACTCACAAGCCAGAAGAGGCAATTCTGAAAAATCTAATCTATTAGTATATTCATTAAACATCATATCAATTAATATGAAAATCATAATTCCCTTCACAGGATGATCCTGAAAAAATAAAATTGGGTAAGGAGAGGTAAAATAATTATCTCATACAAATGAGGTTTGAATGGAAGAACTGCTGCAGTGGAGGCAGGAGGGGGTGGAGGGCTGGTAGTGCTAGATAGAACCTTATTCTTATCAGAACTGGGTTAAAGAGGGAATACCGTATACTTATAGAAGGTTATAAAAGTCTTTTTATAAAGAAATGGGAGAGAGAGAGGATAAGAAAAGGGAGGAATCGTAGAAGGGTGTGCAGATCAAGAAATAGGGTAAAGGGAGAGGGAAAGGAAGGGACTCTTAGAAGGCTGGGTAGATTAAGGAATAGGAGGATAGGGGAAGGATTCTTAGAAGAGGTGCAGCTCAGGGGGGCAGTGGTTAGAAGTAAATTGGACTGAGGGAAGGTAGGGTTAAAAAGAGGGAGAGAAGGATAAACAGTAAGAAAAATATGATGGAGGGAAATACACAACTCATAATTATAACTTTGAATGTGAATGGGATGAACTCGCCCATAAAATGGAAATGTATAGTAGAATGGATTAAAAACCAGAAGCCTACAATATGTTGCTTGCAAGAAACACATTTGAGAATGAAAAATACACAGTAAAAATAAAGGGTTAAAGTAAAATATATTATGCTTCAGCTGATAGAAAAAAATGCAGGGGTAGCTATCATGATCTCAAAGTTAAAGCTAAAATAGATTTCATTCAAAGAGGTAAACCAGAACTATATTATGATAAAAGGTACTATAGATAATTCAGTAATATCAGTACTAAACCTATATGCACCAAATGCTGTAGCATCCAGTTTTTTAAAGAAAAAGCTAAATGCATTACAGATGGAAATAGATAGCATAACTGTAATAGTGGGGGACTTCAGTCTTCCCTTCTCAGAACTAGATAAATATAACCAGAAAATGAATAAGGAAGAAGGCAAAGAGATGAATAGGATCATAGATAAGCTAGATATAATAGCTATCTGTAGAGAATTGAATGAGAATAGAAAGGAATGCGCTTTTTTCTCAGTGGTATATGATACTTTTGCAAAAATTACCATGTATCAGGCCATAAAACTTTATAGTTAAATGCAGAAAAATAATATTAAATGCATCTTTTTCAAATCATAATAAAATAAATATAAATTATATTTAATAAGGGACCATGGAAACATTAAAAATTATTTGGAAACTAAACAACCTAGTCTTAAAGAATGAGTGGGTTAAAGAACAAGTCATAGAAACAATAAATAATTTTGTTAACAATAATGAAACAACATACCAAAACCTACACAATATAGCAAAAGTAGTAATTGGGGGAAATTTATATCTCTAAATGCATATAACAATAAAATAGAGAAAGAACAGACCAGTGAATTAAATATGCAATTAAAAAAACTGGAAAAAGAACAAATTAGAAATCCCCAATTAAACACCAAATTGGAAATCCTAAAAAATAAAGGTGAGATTAATAAAATTGAATGTTGAGCAAACCATTGAATTGGGAAATAAAACTAGGAGTTGGTTTTATAAAAAGAAAATAGATAAATCATTAGTTAATATAATAAAAAAGAAAACCGTGTCACTAGTATCAAAAATGAGAAGGGTGAATACATCACTAATGAAGATGAAATCAAAGCAGTTATTAAGAATTATTTTGGAATAATGTGAAAACGTTTAATAGGAATATAGATTACATGCTGTCTTGGGGAGGGAGGTGAGGAGGGAGGGGAAGAAAATTTAAAACTCAAAAGCTTATGAAAGTGAATGTTGAAAACAAAATAAATTTAAAAAGAATACAAGAAAAAGTTTTTTTGCTGAATTTTATGCCAATAAATTTAGCAATGGAAGTGAAATGTAAGAATATTTACAAAAATATAATGCCTAGATTAACAAAAGAGGAAATAGAATATCTAAACAAACCTATTTTAGGAAAAAGAAGGACCATAAATGAGCTTTGTAAGAATAAAGCATCATGACCAGATGGATTTACAAGTGAATTCTACCAAACATTTAAAGATCAACCAATTCCAATATTAAATAAGTTATTTGGAATAACAGGCAGAGGAGTTCTAGCAAACTCCTTTTACGAAACAGATACAGTGCTGATATCTAAACCAGGAAGAGCCAAAATGGAAAAAGAAAATTACAGACCAATTTCTTTAATGAATATGAATGCAAAAATTCTAAATAATTCTAAATTAAAATATTAAAATTTAAAAATTCTAAATTAGCCAGATGGCTACAATAATATATCACAAAGATTATAAATCGTGATCAAATGGGATTCATACTGGGAATGCAGGGATGATTTAACATAAGGAAAACTATTAACGTAATTGATTATATCAAAAACAATAGTAACAAAAAGCATAATTATATCAATATTTGCAGAAAAAGCTTTTGACAAAATACAACATTCATTTCTATTAAAAACATTTGAAAGCATAGGTATAAATGGATTTTTTCCTTAAAATGATAAGAAGTATCTACCTAAAATCATCAGTAAGCGTTATTTATTTGTTTGTTTTGTTTGGTTTTTTTTGTCTTTTTTTTTTTTTTAGGCAGTTGGGGTTAAGTGACTTGCCCAGGGTCACACACCTAGTAAGTGTCAAGTGTTTGGTCTGAGGCTGGATTTGAACTCAGGTCCTCCTGACTTAAGGGCCGGTGCTCTATCCACTGTGTCACCTAGCTGCCCCCAATAAGCATTATTTGTAATGGGGATAAACCAGAAGCCTTTCCAGTAAGATAAGGAGTGAAACAAGGATGCCCATTATCACCAGTATTATTCAGTACTGTATTAGGGATGCTAGCAATAGCAATAAGAGGAGTAAAAGAAGTTGAAGGAATCAGAATGGGCAATGAAATAAAACTATCTCTCTTTACAGACTATGATAATATACTTGAAAATCCTAGAGATTCAACTAAAAAGTTAGCTGAAACAATTATTGATTTTACCAGAGTAGCAAGATATAAAATAAACCCACATAAATCATCAGAATTTCTATATGTCACCAACAGAAAACCCTGCAAGAAGAGATAGTAAGAGATACCCCACTTAAACAACATGTATTCAATGCAAATTAAAACCACTTTGAGATATCATCTCACACCTATCAGATTGGCTAAAATAATAGAAGGGGAAAGTGACAAATGTTAGAGAGGATGTGGAAGAACAGGAAAAAGTCCTTTAACCAAATTTTTGTAACCTTGGAGTATCTTGGAGTAAACAGTATAAAAACCTGGGAGTGTACCTGCCAAGACAAACCCAGAAACTATATGAATGTAAGCATGAAACAGTTTTTATACAAATAAAGTCAGATTTAAATAATTGGTTGTTTTTTTGTTTGTTTTTTAGGCAATTGGGGTTAAGTGACTTGCCCAGAGTCACACAACTGGTAAGAGTCAAGTGTTTGGTCTAGGGCTGGGTTTGAACTCAGGTCTTCCTGACTTCAGTGCCAGTGCTCTATCCACTACACCACCCATCTGCCCTGCAGATTTAAATAATTGGAGAAATATTAATTGCTCATGGGTGGACAGAACCAATATAATGAAAATGACAACTCTACTTGAATTAATCTCCTTATTCGATGCCATCCCAATTAAATTGCCAGAAAATTATTTTATCGAGCTATTAAAATATTATCAAAATTCGTTGGAAAGAACAGAAAGTCAAGAATATCAAAGGGATTAATGAAAGAAAAACATAAATGAAGGAGGTTTAGTGGTACCTGATCTTAAACTATATAATAAAGCAATAGTTATCAAAACTGGCTTGTACTAAGAAATAGAAAGGTGGATGAGTGGAACATATTAGACCTATAATAGTAGTAAATGATGATAGCAACCTTGTGTTTGACAAATGTAAAGATTTAAGCTTTTAGAATAAGAATTCACTATTTGGTTAAAAAATTACTGGGAAAACTGGAAAGCAGTCTGTTAAAAATTGGATACAGACCAACATCTTATGACATTTATCGAGATAAGGTGAAAATGGATACATGACCTCTAGGTTTAAAGGGAGATATCATAAGAAAATTAAAAGAACATGGAACATACCTATCAGACTTAATGGAAAGGAGAAGAATTTATGAATGAACAAGAAGGAGAGCATTTTGACAATGTGAATTGTATGATTTTGATTTTATTAAATTATAAAGGTTTTGTACAAGTAAAGCCAATGTAGTCAAGATTAGAAGGAAAGCAGAAAATTGGGGGGAAATTTTTATACACAATTTCTTGGATAAAGGCCTCATATATCACATATATAGAGAACTTGATCAAATTTTTAATACTGAGTCATTCTTCAATTGATAAATGGTCAAAGGATATGAACTGGCAGTTTTTTGATGAAGAAATCAAAACTACTTTATAGTCATAATGCCCTTAATCCCTATTGATTAGAGAAATGCAAATTAAAACAACTTTGAGATATCATCTCACACCTATCAGATTGGCTAAAATAATAGAAGGGGAAAGTGACAAATGTTAGAGAGGATGTGGAAGAACAGGGAAAAATCCTTTAACCAAATTTTTGTAACCTTGGAGTATCTTCCGTAGCCAATCAGTTGCCAAATCCTTTCACCCCTACAACATTTCTCATCTTTTCCCTTCCTTCTTCTTACGTGGCCACCACTGTAGTTAAAGGACTCATCACTTTTTATCTGGACTTTTGTAATAGTCAGCTATCATTTATGAAGGGACTAATATGTGCCTGGTACTTTATAAGCCCTGGGGATATAAAGAAACAGAAAACAAAACAGTCCCTGCTCTCCAGTAGCTAACAGTCTAATGAAGGAGACAGTGTGCAGAAGATGCAACTTTAGCTTAGATTTGAGGAAAACCAGGATAGCTAGGTGACAGAGAGGAGGAAAGTACAAACTACCATGTATAAACAACATATATTCAGGACAAATTGGGGGTAGTCACAAAGGGAGGACATTAAGATTAAGGAGGACTGGAAAATTCTTGCAGAAGATGCAACTTTAGCCTGCGGCTGTGCATGCCAAATGATTTCAGGTGGCCCAAGAAAAATGTGGATGTTTTCTACGTTTTTCACAGGCCGCTGAAATCCTTAGGCCAGCTGCAGGTTGTGCAGACCTGTACTAATTGGTCTCCTTTCCTCAAGTGTCTCCTCTGTCTAATCCTTCTTGAACTGAGCCAACAAAGTGATATTCCTAAAGGTCACCGTGTCATTGTACTTGAAAGCTTCTGTGGTGCTCTATTACTTCTAGGATAAAATAAAAACTCCTCTTTTGCATTTAAAGCCCTCTACATTTTGCTTTTAATGTACATCCAAGCAGAGTATATTCCTAGTATACCTGGTGTATATGTACTGAGTACACATATACCTGGTGCTCAGGTATTGTTTAAGTACGCAAATGCTGTTGAATCTTTATGAAATACCGGGCTCCTTCACTTTTAACACCAGCAGATATTTCAGTTGCCCTCTTATGTGAAAAGTACTATGCTAAGCAGTGGAGGAGATAAAAATATTAAATTAGAAACAGTTCCTGCCTTCATGGACCTTGTAGTCTGGTAGAGTGGTAGAATACACAACAAATGACCATCGTATTGTAGCTATTTGACAAAAGTTTAAATGTGTATACCACACCTAAACACAATGATGCAGTGTGATCGCCTGTATCTATTAATGAATATTTGTTCTATCTGTATTCCAACTTTGTCAGCTGACCTTTCATTCCATGGGAATAGATCTCTTTACAAATACGTTGTCTTTAACATGTTCCACTGCTCCTTGGTCTGCCATCTGTGTGTGTGTGTATGTGTGTGTGTGTGTTTAATTTCTTTTTAAATAAAGTAGTTTATCTGTGACTATAAAGACTCAGAAACCTAGTTGGAATCAGGAACCATAGTACAATCCAAAATAGCAGTATTCCTTTTGGACCATTTGGAATGAAAATTGCTAACATTTATTTTAATTAAATATTTTATTTCTGTACAGTTTCAGCCACAGTGAGTGTAAGAATTTGGATTTGTCCTGACTAGTTAGAGCTTCATGAAATGAAATCAGCTTTAGCTACAAGATAACTCGTATGTCTCAAGTCCTATTTTCTCATGAGGAAAAGCACTTCTCTACTACAGGTGAGTAGTCACAGTGTTTACCCAGGTAATCTTCATTTTGGTTAGTACTAAGGATACATTGGCGTGTCTTGAAGAATGTATTATTACTATGTGCTCTGTATTTAGTACCATTTTTATAAGGAGATCACAAACATTTCATGAATATCATTTCTTTCATCCTGATGCTATTTTGTTGAGTTAGGAGGAGAGAATAGTTTCTGGCAACCTGTATTTTGTTCCTGGAAGAACCCGAAGACAGAACAGCTTGTGAAAGACCATATAGTAAAATAAATAGGATCTTAAAGTTGCTAAGGCTGTTTTATAGTTCACTGACCATAAGGATTTTTAAGAGAAGACAAATGGTAGGATTTGTTTCTAAAACTAATTTTGTGATTAGATTTTACTCTTCAGCTAAATATCAATAAAGAGAATATTTTTTTCTTTGAGAGAAACTCTTCTGAATTTCCCTTTGATCGCTGGAGACCTCTGTGATCTTTCTTCCAGTAAATGGATTACATGGGACGGGCACCTTTGAGATTCCTTAGGAGAAGGATTTTTGTTGTCTTTGTTCAGTGGAATCCTCTACCCCTACACAAACAATAGGGATTTTGTCTTTCTTTCATACTTTTGAGGTGGCAGTTAAAGTCTCCCTGATACATACTAGAAGTGAGTGTGGGGTAAACATTGTCCTTTGACTGTAAGAGATTTTTAGCTGGAATGAGGTTTCCTACTGGCCACCTCTTATTCATTTCCTTACCCTTTATCTCTATCAGAAGAGTCATTTCTTCAAAATAACTGATTACATGCTTAGGCAACAGGAAGCCCTCGCTGCAAAGCAAGGGAACCTTAGATGTGTGTAAAATTACATTTTGTTCCATGATTTTATAGCAAGCAGATTGACATGCCCCCCTTTCTTATGAATTAACATATAAATGTAACTTATTAAGTACCATGAGTTCCTTTTAGCTAGAAAAAGTAATATATCATTGACTTAGCCTGAATTTCCTTATTTTAGAAAAATAAGACACCTTGACTTAGGGAATTGAGTCAAGCTAATTAGCTTTCCTTAAAAAAGTAGAATAGCTTCCAAGTTCTATGGTAATGAATTAATGTTTAGATGAGGGATGGGGAACCTGCCATCTCAAGGTCACCTGTGGCCTTGTAGGTCCTTGGGTGTGGCCTTTTGACTGAGTCCAAGTTTTACAGACTAAATCCTTTTAAGGGGATTTGTTCTGTGAAGTTTGGATTCAGCCAAAGGGCTGCAATTGAGGACCTAGAGGGCCACATATGGCCTTGAGGGCACAGGTTGCTCCTTCTCTCCCCCCTTTAGGTCTTTGAATTCCAAGTGAAAAGAATTAGAACCATAGATGCCAGAAAAAATTGTTTACTTTCCCATACATACACATCTGTTTGATTTACATTCATGAATAAACATTTTTTGGAAAAGTGGTTTAAATAAGCCACTTTTTCATTGATTTGGTTGTAACCAATTTTTGTTCTTCCAGGGGAGGTTATGGATCCAACTATGGTGAAAAATGTTTCGAAAAGGCAAAAAGCGACACAGTAGTAGCAGTTCCCAAAGTAGTGAAATCAGTACTAAGAGCAAGGTAAGGGGGGTGGAGTTTAGAATCAAGTCACCAGGCAGTCAGTTAATTTTTTTGTATTTATGACGAATAATCCACATAACATATTTATCATAGGCTCATTGCATGATATTTGTTAAGTGGTGTGAACACTTAATTTCGTAATTTTACGTATTGGATATAATTCCACTTTGGATGTTGTTCAATTCTGGATTTTCTCAAGTCATTGAAACCATTTAAATAAATCAGCTACAGTGTACAAATGGGTCCTTTGCAATGAGAGCTGAAAATTTTCAGATTCTCTCTCTTGGGGTCACTTCACCTCTCAGAGTACCTGGCACCTTTCTCAGATGCTAAATTGTAGAAGAGTTGTCATTCTGCATCTGTGATGGGAGTTTCCAAATACTACCCATACAGCAGTGGGAGCTCCCTTCAGTGGTGAACTTACAGGTTTGAATGCCCCCAAAATGAGGGGAGTTTTACACACAGTGTTCTAGGAGTTTTAGAGTTTTTAATAAGTCCATTTACTCCCAGCATTCATGACATAGGATCATAGATTTAGAGCTAGAAATGACTTTAGAAGGCATCTAGTTCAGCCCCTTCATTTTACAGATGAGGAAACTGAAACCTAGCAAGGTTAAGGGAGTTGTGAACAGATCATACAGGTGACAGAGCTAGATATTTGTCAGTAT